TTTCTAGAAACACACGGCCTACACAAACTACAACAAAGTGATGTTGAAAATCTGAACAGACCCATAACAAGAGAAGAGATTGAAAAGGTAATAAAGAAAACTCCCAACAAAAAAAATCCCTGGCCCAGATGGCTTCATTGGAGAATTCTACAAAACATTCAGAGAAGAGCTTATAACAGTACTACTCAAACTATTTCAGAACATAGAAAACGAAGCAACACTTCCACATTCATTCTATGAAGCCTGCATAACCCTGATACCAAAACCAGACAAAGATGCCACAACAAAGGAAAATTACAGACCAATATCTCGCATTAATATAGGTGTAAAAATTCTCAGCAAAATTCTAGCCAATAGAATGCAGCATCATATCAAAAAATAATACACCACCACCAAGTAGGATTTATACAAGGTATGCAAGGATGGTTCAACATTAGAAAATCAATCAACGTACTCCACCACATAAATAAAAGGAAAGAAAATAATCACATGATTATCTCAATTAATGCAGAAAAGGCATTTGACAAAGTCCAACACCGATTCCTGATAAAAACTCTCAATAAAATAGGTATAGAAGGGAAATTTCTCAACATAATAAAGGGCATCTATGCAAAACCAGTAGCCAACATCATTCTTAATGGAGAGAGGCTAAAAAAATTCCCCTTGAGAACAGGAACAAGACAAGGGTGCTCTTTATCACCACTCCTATTTAACATTGTGCTGGAAGTCCTAGCTAGAGCAATAAGGCAAGAAAAAGGGTATCCAAATTGGTACTGAAGAAGTTAAACTGTCCCTATTTGCGGATGATATGATACTATACAAAAAAAGCCCAAAAGACCCCAGGAGAAAACTACTGTAACTAATAGAAAGATTCAGCAGAGTAGCAGGATACAAGATAAACACAAAAATCAGTTGGATTCCTATATAGCAATAAAGGGAACAATGAAAAGGAAATCAGGAAAAAATACCATTTATAATAGCCCCTAAAAATATAAAATACTTAGGAATAAATCTAAACAGGGATGTAAAAGACCTATACAAAGAAAACTACAAGGCACTACTGCAAGAAACCCAAAGGGATCTACATAAATGGAAAAACATACCCTGCTCATGGATAGGTAGACTCCACGTTGTGAAAATGACAATTCTACCCAAAGCAATTTACAAATACAATGCAATCCCAATCCAAATACCAACAACATTCTTTGAAGAGATGGAAAAACCAATCATTAACTTTATTTGGAAAGGGAAGAATACCTGGATAAGTAAAGCACTACCAAAGAAGAATAAAGTAGGAGGACTCGTACTACCTGACCTCAGAACCTGCTATACAGCTACAGTAGTCAAAACAGCCTGGTACTGGTACAACGACAGATACATTGACCAATGGAACAGAATTGAAAACCCAGATGTAAATCCATCCACCTACGGTCACCTGATCTTCAACAAGGGCCCAAAGTCCATCAGATGGGGAAAAGACAGTCTTTTTAACAAATGTTGCTGGCAAAACTGGTTGTCCATCTGCAAAAAAATTAAAGAGGACCCATACCTCACACATATACAAAAGCTAATTCAAAATGGATCAAGGACCTAAATATAAATCCAAAAACTATAAAGTTCATAGAAGAAAAAATAGGATCAATGCTAGAGGCCCTAATACACAGCGTTAACAGAATACAAACCATAACCAACAACACGCAAACTCCAGAAGATAAGCTAGATAACTGGGATCTTCTAAAAATTAAACACTTATGCTCATCAAAAGACTTCAACAAAAGAGTAAAAAGAGAACATACAGGCTGGGAAAAAAATCTGGATATTACAAGTCAGACAAAGGCCTAATCTCTAAAATCTACAAGAAAATCCAACACCTCTACAACAAAAAGACAAATAATCCTATTAAAAAATGGGCAGAGGAAATAAACAGACACTTCATCAAGGAAGACATTCAAGCGGCCAATAGGCACATGAGGAAATGCTCGTGATCACTAGCCATTAGAAAAATGCAAATTAAAACCACAATGAGATACCATCTCACCCCGGCATTACTGGCACTAATCAAAAAAACTGGAAATAACAAATGTTGGAGAGACTGCAGGGAGATTGGAAGTCTTATGCAGTCCTGGTGGGAATGCAAAATGATACAACCATTCTGGAAAATGATACGGTGCTTCCTTAGAAAGCTAGAAATAGAAATACCGTACGATCCAGCAATCCCACTCCTAGGAATATATCCTAGACAAATATGAGCCATCACACGAATAGACAAATACACACCCATGTTCATTACAGCATTGTTCACAATCACAAAAAGATGGAAACAACGTAGATGCCCATCAACAGATGAATGGATAAACTATGATACATAAACACAATGGAGTATTATGCAATGATAAAGAACAATAATGAATCTGTGAAGCATCTCATAACATGGATCAAACTGGAGGACATGCTGAGTGAAATAAGTCAATCACAAAAGGACAAATACTGTATGAGACCTCTACTCTAAAATCTCATGAAAAAGTTTATACACAAAAAGAAACAATTTTTGTTGGTTACAAGGGGTGGGGGGTGGAATACTAAATAGACGATAGATAAGTGGTAACTTTGATGAAGGGTGAGACAGTGCACACTTCTGGGGAAACCAGCACAACCTGTACAAGGAAAGGTCATGGAAGCTCCATAGACACTTCCAAACTCCCTGAGGGACTGAATTGCTGGCCAGAGGGCTGTGGGGACCATGGTCTCGGGGAACATCTAGCTCAATTGGCATAACACAGTTTTTAAAGAAAATGTTCTACATTCTACCTTGGTGAGTAGCGTCTGGGGTTTCAAAAGCCTGTGAGCAGCCATCTATGATACTCCACTGATCTCACCCCTTCGGGAGTAAGGGAGAATGAAGAAAACAAGATACAAGGGAAAGATTAGTCCAAAGGACTAATGGACCACAACTACTATGGCCTCCACCGGACTGAATCCAGTACAACTAGATGGTGCCCGGCTACCACCACTGACTGGTCTGACCGGGATCACAACAGAGGGTCCCAGACAGAGCTGGAGAAAAATGTAGAACAAAATTCTAACTCACAAAAGAAGACCAGACTTACTGGCCTGACAGAGACTGGAGAAACCCGGAAAGTATGGCCCCCAGACACCCTTTTAGCTCAGTAATGAAGTCACTCCCAAGGTTCACCATTCGGCCAAAGATTAGACAGGCCCATAAGACAAAATGAGACTAATGGGCCACAACAGTCCAGGGACAAGGACTAGAAGGCAGGAGGGGACAGGAAAGCTGGTAATAAGGAACCCAAGGTTGAGAAGGAACAGTGTTGACATGTTGTGGGATTATTAACCATTGTTGTAAAACAATATGTGTACTAACTGTTTAATGACAAACTATTTGTTCTATAAAACTTCATCTAAAGTACAATAAAAAATAAAATAAAATTTATAATAAAAAAGCACAAATCCAGAAGAATTAGCCAGCCACTGAAGCAGGCCACTGCCCTTGGGTCATCTAGTAGATCTTTAAGAATCTAGAGCTCAACCTGACCATGCACGGTGGTAGGGATCAAGGGGAGGGGGAGCTGGATTGGAGACCCCATGTAACCTGGGACTTACTGAAAGGAGATGCTTTGAAGCATAGGGTAAAACAGAGAGGGAAAACATTGCCACATAAAGTGAGGGAATAAAGAAACTTACCTGTCTGAACCTTGGCTCTGGATGGATGGTTCTCAGAAGAATCTGTAATCATGAGCCAGCCCTCATTCAGGTTTGAGGCTGAGTTCACATTACCTGTATTGTCCAAAAACTCCAAGCCAAGAGTTCAGTTTAAAGAGTTGCCAGGTGAGTAATTAAGGCCTCTGGAAGAAGCAAAAGTAAATCTCTTCTGAGAAAATGAACCATAAATCCCAGCTTCAATGTAGTCCCATGAAATTTTAATGAATGTGAGCATACAAATCAAAAACATGCAGAGAAATTTGTCACCAAAGAAATTGTCAGAAATAATAACTAGAGGCAGACTTTTGAAGATTAGATGTTTATATAAGATACAGAATGTAAAATATATTTTACTTAAGTTTAAGGAAGTAAAAGTATTAAAAATGTCTAGAAACCAAGAAGCTATTAAATTAAAAAGAAGATTTGAAAAAGAGCCAATGAACATGAGATATGAACGTTGAGTTGGAATTAGAAACTTACTAGAAGAATTAAGTAGTAGATTAGATCAGATGTAGGGAAGTAGAAGATCATAAATAATTATCCAGAATTCAAGAATAGACAAAGAGGGTAAGAGACATAGAGAAGATAGACTGAAAGGGTACAGTAACCATTCAGTTGGAACTGTAGAAAGAATATAGACAGTAGGGGAGAAAGGCTATAATTTAGGAGGAAGTGGTTGAGGGTTAATCACAATTGATGAGGCACAAATCTTCAGATTTAAGAAGCCCAGTAACTCTAAACTTTGATACAAAAATAATTTTATACTCTATATACAGATTACAGTGAAACTGTAGAACATTAAAACAAAGAGTGGATCTTAGAAGCATATAGAAGGAGGGGGAAAAAGAACTAGATTACCTTAAAAGGAATGACAATTAGACTAACAGTAGACTTCTCAACAGCAGCAATGAAAATTAGAAGACAGTAGAATAATGTCTTCAAAATACTGAGAGAATAATTCAAATTAGAATTATATGTCAAAAGTTACTGCCCCATTTTTCTACTCACTTTTATAGAAAAACTATAAAGATCTATCTATGCTAGGTATGCCAATTTCCTCTCCTCAATTCTCATAATTGAATGTATTAGCTTTGAGATGTTTATTAGATATCCAAGTCAATCAGACTTTCACTCCACCACTGTACCAGATTTGCTCTTGTCACCGTCACCAATGACTTCCAAGTTGCTAAATTCAAAGGTAAATTCTCGATCCTCATCTTACTTGATAGGAACTTTTGACACAGTTGTTCATATTCTCTTCCTGGAAATATTTTGCTCCCTTGAATTCCAGGGCTTCAAGATGAACGAAAAATTCAAGTGAACAAAATTTTTCCAGAGCTGCCTTGATTTCCTCCTACTTTTCACCTTTTCTTAGTCTTCTTTGATGAATCTTCTTCTTCTTCCTGACTTCTTATTGCTGGACTGCCCCAGAATTCAGCCTTGGACCTCTTCGTTTCTGTCTCTGTTCACATCCAGACCTACTGATCTCATCCAAATGAGATTTTAAACACCATGTATTTGAAAGCTACTCCAAATTTTATATGTCTAGTCCAGGTTTCTTTATATTGCACATACTTTGAGATTAATGGGAGCCATATAGCCAATGCCTACTGGTCATCTACTTGGATGGATAATAGGCATCTCAGATGTCCCTGGGTGGCGTAAACAGTTAAGTGCTCCACTACTAGCCAAAAGGTTGGTGGTTTGAATCCACCCGGAGGCACTTCAGAAGACAGGCCTGGCGATCTGCCTCCAAAAGGTCACATTTTTGAAAACCCTATGGAGCATGGTTCTACTCTGCAACAGGTGTGGTTGCAATGAGTAGGAATCAACTCAATGGCAACTAACAACAGTTATCTACTTGGATGGCTAGTAGTCATCTCAAACTTAACTATGTTCAAAATGGAATCCTGATTATCAATACATCCCAAATCTGCTCTACCTACAGTCTTCTCCATTGCTATTAATGGCAACTGCATCCCTCCTGCAGTTTAAGTTTAGAATTTTGGGCTTATCCTTGATTCTTCTTCCTCTCACACTATATACCCAATCCATCAGAAAATCCTGTTTTGTTTCTGCCTCGCCCTCTCCCTTAACCATCCTGTTCCAAGCCATGACCACGTATTGCCTGGGCTAGTATTAGTGGTTTCTTAACTCATCTCCAGCTGCTGCTTTTGCATCGCTATGTTTAGTCTTAACCCAACAGCCAAAATAATACTTTTTAAAATGTAAGGCAGAATATATTACGCTGTTCAAAACACTTCAATGGTTCCCCATTACACTCAGAAATCAGTGTTATCATCTGACATCTTCTTCTACCCAGTGCTATTTCTCTAACCTCTCTCTCTTCTCTTTTTTCCCTCCTTCTTCTTTTTTTTTTTTTTTAACTATCTTTTGCTTAATCTGCTCCAGCCATCCTGACCTTCCCACTGTTCCTCCAACATATGTGGCACGATCCTATTGCAGGAATTTTCCATTACGTTTCTTCTGCAGATCATCTTCCTATAGATAAAACTGCATGGTTCCTTCCCTCAGCTCCCTCAAGACTTTGCTGAAATGTCACCTGCTCAATGAGACTTACCATAGCCACAGTATTTAAAATTTACATTTCACACACCATTTCCCTTAATCCCCACACTTCTCATCTTGCCTACTCTGCTCTGATTTTTCCAGAGCACATAAGTCCTAATTGACTAAATAATTTATTATATTTAATGTTTGTATCTCCTCTGCCCCCCAACTCATGTATAAGCACCATTAGGGCCAGGATTTTTTTTCTCTCTGCTCATTCACTGAGGCCTAAAAGAGTGCTTTCCACATAGTAGTGCTCCATAACTACTGCATGAAAAACTGTCTTTTAGACACAAGGGCATGCCCTAAAATGCTGTAGTTTGGGGGCCATAGTAGTGTGTAGAACAGTGGGTGATGTTTTTCCTTGTTATACCTTTGCTGCATTTTCTAAATTTCTATAAATATAAAATAGTTTTATATTATAGTGGGGGAAACTCTGTTTTGAAATGCGAATATTATTTTTAAGAAGGAAATGGAGAAGCCACAAAATCCACATGATGTTGAAGCTTGCAGTATGTGAGCAGATGCTCACTGCTCCAATGATAACAAAGATATTCAGCATCACTTGTCTATCCTTAAACCTCATGATTTTGTCTTTTTTTTTTTAAGGAACTGCTGTTCAGCCAATCTGCCTTCCCCGTAGAGATGATAAATTTGAAGCAGAGGTTCTTTGCATGGCCAGTGGATTGGGCAAGATTTCAGACAGTAAGAGGCATCAGAAGAATATACTAATACTTCTCCCAGGTCCTGTTTTATGCCCAGTGGAAGCAGGAATAATTTGTTCACCATGAATAATTCATTTATCCTGTTTTTTCCCTGAATTCTGACCCAGTGAATATTCCCAGTTGTCTTGACCATAGAATAGTCTTATACTTTTCTCAAGGGTATTCATAACACTTCTGCTGCCATTTTGGTTAGGTGTGTCAGATAAAGGAAACTGGAGATAGCTATGATAGATGAAGCAGAATACAGTAAAAGGATAGTGAGGAAACAATAGTTAAGTTTCTTGTCTTTAATATTGTTTAAAATGATTAAAAATTTATAAAATATTGCTTTATTGACTGAAAGTTTTCTCTTGGGAAACAGTCGAACATATATTCAGAGAAGCCATAATTGTACAATTGCCTATGTTACCTTAAAATTCTGCTGAATTTTAAAAAATGTCCTTTACCACATACTAATTTTTAAAAAGAATGTAATTCCCACCTAAAAAAATATGATTTTGTACATTTTGGTTAATATTCTGCTTGAAATAGTTACAAACTTTGGATTTCTTACTAACTTGTTTGCATGAGGACAATTCTTGGCTAACTTATCAGTCTCTTCTCTGCAGCATCAAAATATTCAGATGTCCTACAAGAAGTGGAAATTTCCATCCTGGATGACAGAACATGTAATACTGTGCTCAAGAATATGAACCTTCCTCCTCTGGGAGGGACCATGTTGCGTGTTGGATTTCCTGATGGGGGAGAGGATGCTTGCCAGGTACAAAAGCATAAAGCATCCCACTTAGTCATGTGGGTGATAGTAGATTCTGCCTTTTCCTAGGAGCTTCTTTTGGGGAGTTGTGCTTCAAAATTTCTTCCCTTCCTCTTTCCACCTGGCTTTTACAGAAAAAGTTTACTTGACCTGTACAGAGAGAATTCTTCCCTGTCCCTGTGCCCATTCTACCCCTGTGTAGGAGTGGGTAGATGAGTGGTTACAACTTGTCAGACCTAATTGGAGTCAAGCAAGATAACCACTTTAGCAAGCTAATTAGGTCCATCTATAGTTGTTTTTCATTCCATGTTTTGTTAAGCGTTGTGGGTTTTTTTGTTTTGTTTTGTTTTGTTCTGCTTTTAGTGCAGAATGCAGTACTTGCACAAAGTTTGGCCAAAGATTGCATAGCTTTAGTAACTGTTAAGTAAGAGATGTTGTAAATGACAATAACCTCCTAAGACTGACACAGTTCATAAAGAAAACCTATCTTTATAAGATGTATAGAGAGGATAGGGAGACCAGTTTGCAAAATACATGAATTTTAAGTTTTGGGTAGAGAACAATTTACATGGAGGGCGTATTCTTTTAGGGTGGAAGAGCAGCGAGTTGTTACTATTTGTAGCAAAGAGCTTGACACTGCTATAGGAAGCTCCCTGAAATTATCTATTGGAAGAATTTTTAATTTTTCTTCTAGGGGGTGACAGGACAAATAATAGGAGCTTCAGAAACCAAAAGCCAAGCCTGTTGCCATCGAGTCGATTCTGACTCATAGCGACCCTATAGGGCAGAGTAGAACTGCCCCGTAGAGTTTCCAGGGAGCGCCTGGTGGATTCAAACTGCTGACCTTTTGGTTAGCTTTTAGCCACTATGCCATCAGGGTTTCAGGCTTCAGAGGGGGGAGAAATAAAATTAATATTATGCCACTTTCCAAATGGAACACAGGTAGGCTAAGGGTGCTTTGTCCTGTCTGCATCTGTCACAGGCAATTCTTTTTTTGGATGAAGCCCTCAAAAAGCAATTCTGTGCCTTTTGAGGGGAGCTTAATCTGACATAAGATTGTCTGAAACTTGTTCTCAAAGCAGCATATTATTCTGAAGGGTTATTAAAGGCAGGTTCCTAACTCATGAGTTCCTTATCCATTAGCATAAAAGCCAAGGTGGTCCTTTACATATTGTCATGGTTTGAATTGTGTCCCCCCAAAATATCTGTCAACTTGGCTAGATCATGATTCCCAGTAATGTATGATTGGTAACATTTTGTAATCTGATGTGATTTCCATATGTGTTGTAAACTCTATCACTATGATGTAATAAGATGGATTAGCAGCAGTCATGCTGATGAGGTCTACAAGATTAGATAGTGTATTAAGCCAATCTCTTTTGAGATATGGAAGAGAGAAGCGAACAGAGGCACAGGGGACCGCATACCACCAAGAAAGCAGTGCTGGGAGCAGAGCCCGTCCTTCGGACCTGAGGTTCCTGTGCTGAGATGCTCCCAGACCAAGGGAAGACTGATGACAAGGGCCTTCCTCCAGAGCCAACAGAGAAAGCCTTCCCCTGGAGCTAATGCCTTGAATTTGGTCTTGTAGCCTACTAGACTGTGAGAGAATAAATTTCTCTTTGTTAAAAGCCATCCACTTGTGGTATTTCTGTTACAGCAGCACTAGATGACTAAGACACATATACTACCTGGAACAAAATTAGGCTCCTTGACTTCCTATATTCAAAGCCTTAAGCCCCTGTACAATCTTGGAGGCTCTATTCACTGATGCTGTGGGCTTGGGATATGACCAAATCTGTTTCTCAGCAATGTTAAGGACAAGCTACAGTGGAAGCATAGATATGTATCTGACTTCCCCCTTCCATTGATTTTTTTTTTTTTTAGAATGTACATGGTAGTTCCAGGTATAAGGTATAGAAACAAACAAACAAAAAAAAAAAATGAAGAAATAAATTGTTAGCTTGACAAGATTGCCAGCAATAGGTGAAAGGAGGTTATATGTGGATGAAAAGACCACACTTTGAAACTAATGATGAGGAAACAACTAATGGATGGAAAAAAAATATTAATGGAAAATGACCAGTGGACTTATATCCTCTACCTCTTTCTCATTGATGTGAGTGCTGATATTTGTGGGACTGATAAAATTTATGTTAACCTGTGAATATTTTCAAATTTTCTCTCCATATATCCTACAAAAGGTGGACTCTGGAGGGCCACTTGTTTGTAGAAGAGACGGTGGAACCTGGACTCTTGCTGGGATTACTTTCTGGGGAGCTGGTTGTGCTAGAGGCTGGGCTCCTTTAAGAAGTAACCAAAGAAGGGCATCAACTGGCATTTTCTCTAAGGTGTTTGAGTTGATGGGATTTTTATCAGCCGTAACATGATCACAGGTGTGTGCATTTTCTCTGAATTCTTCCTTCTTTTCGTTCCAAGTAAAAATTTGATCATGTTTTAGCTCAAAGGTAGTTTATTCTGATATGTTGCAGATATAATCAAAACTAAACTTAAAACAAAGCAAGAATCTAGCTGGTTTCAATTCTAAATCCAATGTATATAAACTTCTGTCCCTGAATTCATGAACACTGTTGTTATTGTTAGATGCTGTCGAGTCGGTTCCGACTCACAGTGACTCTATAGTTCAGAGTAGAACTGCCCCCATAGGGTTTCCAAGGAGTGGCTGGTGGATTTGAACTGTAGACCTTTTGGTTAGCAGCTGAGCTCTTAACCACTGTGCCACTAGGCTCCTCATGAGCACTAATACCTGTCAATTTAAGCTGAATCCCTGTACAAGAAAATTTTCATGAGGTATTTTTTTTTTTAATTTGAGATTTTAAAACATCATTTGAGAATAAACTCATCCAAGGATTATTTATTCATTTTTTGAACTATCACGTATTTTTTTTTTCTGTGCACTATTTAAGAACACTAAAAATAAATCACTCCTCTCCTACTTCTCCTATTAAGCCCTGTTAATTTTACCGGATGACAGTGGGAAAATGAGGGAGACTTTGGAAAGTTAATTTTATTCTAAAGCACTAAACTCTAGACTAGGAAAAGGTAGGTCTGCAAAGGCCAAATATGTCCACAAGGAACTTTCCATCTATTTGAAGAGCAAAGAAGTAAACAGTTACAATAAAAGGTGAAGTGTATATATACCCAGAGATCTGAGAGAGCACTGAGCACGGGGGGTCAGGAAGGCTCAATCCTGAGGGACCAGGAGGCTTAATGCGCAATGAAATCAGGCAGTAACAGTTAATTCCACAGTAAATGAATATCAGAATGTAAGTAACTTATTTAGATAATACTTCCTTAAAATCATCTCTCTCAACTTCTCATCCCCTATTTTTGTCTATTTCCTTTTATCCTCATAATTAACTATGCTCTGGAAATAGTGTTAAATTAAGTTTTCATAACTAACCTCTTACTTTAAATATCAGATGAACTGAATCTTTCATATCTTATTCTTAAAAATGCCGTAATAAACCATCAACTCAGATAAATTACTTTATGCCTCCATGTGGACCTCAAGCCTGTTTTTAAAGACCTGGTAGATCACTAATGCTTTGAAAGGTGGTCCCCTCTGCATTAATTTTAGTAAAAGTTATAATATTATTCTTTTTCTGTTACATTGTCAAAATATTTCGTTTAGATGATTATTTGAATATTATTTGTTATTGGGAAAGGTATTGAAACTTTTTATTCCTTCTGCAGATTTGGACTGAGACCAATTCCACCCAGATATGAGTCCAAGATGTGTAACCAAGGGGCTGATTTCTATGCAAGATGTGGATAGAAGCCACAGTGAGGACATGTGTAGTTTTCATCATCTAGATAGGAGGCTGAGTTGGGATAAGTCATCAGGGAAAAGCAAATACGAGGGTTATATTGTATTCATAATCTGAATTTTATTTCAATTTTTGAATATAAACTTTAAATGTCCTCTTCATCTTCATACATACAGCTTCTAAAAGTTAAAATATGATACAGGCATCTGAAAATTTTGAGTGAATGACGGAGACTTTAACATGTGTCTTAGTTATCTAGTACTGCTACAACAGAAGTACCATAAGTTGATGGCTTTAACAAAGAGAAGTTTATTCTCTCACAGTTTGGGAGGCTAGAAATCTGAATTCAGGGTGCCAGCTGCTAAGGGAAGGCTTTCTCTCTCTGTTGGCTTTGGAGGAAGGTCCTTGTCACCAATCTTCTCCTATATAGGAGCTTCTCAGCTCAGGGACATCAGGTCCAAAGCACACGCTTCCACTCCCGGCTCTTCTTTCTTGGTAGTAGAAGACCTCTCTCCTCTCTGCTTGCTTCTTTCTTTTATATCTCAAAAGAGATTGAGTCAGAATACAACATAATCCTGTAGATTGTGTCCTGCCTCATTAACATAACTGCCTCTAATCCTGCCTCATTAACATCATAAACCAAAAAAAAAAAAAAAAAAAACCAAACCCACCGCCATCGAGCCAATTCTGACTCATAGCAACCCTACAGGACAGAGTAGAACTGCCACACAGGGTTTTCCAAGGAACGGCTGGTGGAATTGAACACTGCCAACCTTTCGGTTAGCAGCCAAGCTCTTAACCACTGTGCCACCAGGGCTCTATTAATATAGAGGTTAGGATCTACAATACATAGGGTAAATACATCATATCACAAAATGGAGGATAACCACAGAATACTGGGAATCATGGCCTAGCTAAATTGACACACATTTTTAGGGGGACACAATTCAATCCATAACACTGTGCCATTGCTAAAAGTACCTTTCCTCTAGTGTCTTAATACAAAGCAATTTTATTATTATCCAGGACATCCTAGGAAGAAATGGGAAAATACCATCTTAGTGCCATATACTGTAAATTTATAGTTTCTAATATACTCTATCCCCCACATGTCTGTCAGTTTGTCATACTGTGGGGGCTTGTGTGTTGCTGTGATGCTGGAAGCTATGCCACCAGTATTCAGATACCAGCAGGGTCACCCATGGTAGACAGGTTTCAGCTGAGCTTCTAGACTAAGACAGACTAGGAAGAAGGACCTGGCAGTCTACTTCTGAAAAGAATTAGCCAGTGAAAACCTTATGAATAGCAGTGGCACAATGTCTGATATAGTGCTCAAAGTAGAGTCGACCTTAATGATGTGGATGGAGTTAAGCTTTTGGGACCTTCATTTGCTGATGTGGCACGACTCAAAATGAGAAGAAATAGTTGCAAACATCCATTAATAATTAGAATGTGGAATGTACGAAGTACAAATCTAAGAAAATTGGAGATTGTCAAAAATGAATGGAACACATAAACATTGATATCCTAGGCATTAGTGAGCTGAAATGGACTGGTAATGGTCATTTTGAATCAGGCAATCATATGGTCTACTATGGCGGGAATGACAACTTGAAGAAGAAGGGCGTTGCATTCATAGTCAAAAAGAACATTTCAAGATCTATCCTGAAGTACAACACTGTCAGTGCTAGGATAATATCCATACACCTACAAGGAAGACCAGTTAATACGGCTATTATTCAAATTTATGCACCAACCACTAAGGCCAAAGATGAAGAAATTGAAGATTTTTACCAACTTCTGCAGTCTGAAACTGATTGGACATGCAATCAAGATGCATTGATAATTACTAGTGATTGGAATGTGAAAGTTGGAAATGAAGAAGGATCAGTAGTTGGAAAATATGGCCTTGGTGATAGAAATGATGCCGGAAATTGCATGATGAAATTTTGCAAGACCAATGACTTCTTCATTTCAAATACCTTTTTTCACCAACATAAACGTTAACTATACACATGGACCTTGCCGAATGGAATACATAGGAATCAAGTCGACTACATCTGTGGAAAGAGACAATGGAAAAACTCAATGTCATCAGTCAGAACAAGCCCAGGGGCCGACTGTGGAGCAGACCATCAATTGCTCATATTCAAGTTCAAGATGAAACTGAAGAAAATTGGAACAAGTCCACAAGAGCCAAAGTACAACCTTGAGTATATCCCACCTGAATTTAGAGACCATCTCAGGGAAAGATTTGACGTATTGAACGCTAAGGACCTAAGACCAGATGAGTTGTCGAATGACATCAAGGACGTCATATGTGAAGAAAGCTAGAGGTCACTAAAAAGACAGGAAAGACAGAAAAGACCAAAATGGATATCAGGATAGACTCTGAAACTTGCTCTTGAATGTAGAGTAGCTAAAGCAAAAGGAAGAAATGATGAAGTAAAAGAACTGAACAGAAGATTTCAAAGGGAGGCTTGAGAAGACAAAGTATTATGACACGTGCAAAGAACTGGCGATAGAAAACAAGGGGAGAACACGCTCGGCATTTCTTAAGCTGAAAGAACTGAAGAAAAAATTCAAGCCTCGAGTTGCAATAGTGAAGGATTCTATGAGGAAAATATTAAAAGATGCAGGAAGCATCAAAAGAAGATGGAAAGAATATACAGAGTCACTGTACCAAAAAGAATTGGTTGACGCTCAACCATTGCAGGAGGTAGCATATGATCAAGAACTGATGATACTGAAGGAAGAAGTTCAAGCTTCACTAAATAGCATTGGTGAAAGACAAGGCTCCAGGAATTGATGGAATATCAATTGAGATGTTTCAGCAAATGCATGCAGCACTGGAATTGCTCACTCATCTATGTCAAGAAATTTGGAAGACAGCTACTTGGCCAACAGACTGGAAGAGATCCATATTTATGCCTATTCAAAAGAAAGTTGATCTAACTGAACGTAGAAATTATCCAACAATATCATTAATACCACAAATGCAAGTAAAATTTTGCCGAAGATCATTCAAAAGCGGCTACAGCAGTATATCGACAGGGAACTGCCAGAAATTCAAGCCGGATTCAGAAGAGGACATGAAACCAGGGATATCATTGTTGATGTCACATGGATCCTGGCTGAAAGCAGAGAATACCAGAAAACTGTTGTTTCCTGTTTTATGGACTATGCAAAGGCATTCGACTGTGTGGATCATAACAAATTATGGATAACATTGTGAAGAATGGGAATTCCAGAACACTTAATTGTGCTCATAAAGAACCTGTAGGTAGATCAAGAGGCAGTTGTTCAAACAGAACAAAGGGATACTGCATGATTTAAAGTCAGGAAAAGTGTGCATCAGGGTTGTATCCTTTCACCATACCTATTCAATCTGTATGCTGAGCAAATAATCTGAGAAGCTGGACTATATGAAGAAGAATGGGGCATCAGGATTGGAGGAAGACTCATTAACAATCTGTGATATGCAGATGACACAACATTGCTTGCTGAAAGTGAAGAGGACTTGAAGCACTTACTGAGGAAGATCAAAGACCACAGCATTCAGTATGGATTCCACCTCAACATAAAGAGAACAAAAGTCCTCACAACTGGACCAATGAGCAACATCATGATAAATGGAGAAAAGATTGAAATTGTCAAGGATTTTGTTTTACTTGGATCCACAATCAACACCCATGGAAGCAACAGTAAAGAAATCAAAAGATGCATTGCATTGGGCAAATCTGCTGCAAAAGACCTCTTTAAAGTGTTAAAAAGCGAACATGTCACCTTGAAGACTAAGGTGTGTCTGACCCAAGCCATGGTATTTTCAGTTGCATCATATGTGTGCGAAAACTGGACAATGAATAAAGAAGGCCAAAGAAGAACTGACGCCTTGAATTGTGGTGTTGACAAAGAATATTGAATATAACATGGCCTGCCAAAAGAATGAACAAATCTGTCTTAGGAAAAGTACAACCAGAATGCTGCATAGAAGCCAGGATGGTGAGATTACTTCTCGCATCTTTGGACATGTTAGCATGAGGGACCAGTCCCTGGAGAAGGACATCATGCTTGGTAAAGTATAGGGTCAGCGAGAAAGAAGAAGACCCTCAAATGGATGGATTGACACAGTGGCTGCAACAATGGGTTCAAGCATAACAATTGTGAGCATGGCGCAGGACCAGGCAGTGTTTCATTCTGTGGTACATAGGGTTGCTATGCCAACTCAATGGCACCTAACGACAGCAATATACTATATGATCTTAAGGAAGTATTATCTAAAAAAGTTACTCATCACATTCTGATACTATAAATTTACAGCCTCAGCATGGCTTTTGTGATTTTAGGAAATTAAACAAATGTTAAATCTGAGGAACTCCAGGTAAAGCAAAAAGCATTATCGTTTATAAACATGTTTAATAAAGGCTATTTGCAAATACAATGTCTATGTTGTAGCATCTAAAAACATAAGCATTCCTCTAAATAGAAACTACATAAATATAAGTCATACAGCTTCAGACTGACCTCTGTATCATCTGTTTTAGAGTGTCCACAGGTGGGGCAAATAATGAACATGTGTCCTACGATTTGGAAGATTGTAGACCTCATGGGACAGTATTGTCTGGAGAAAGTGGGAAGATTAGTTACTCCCCATTTCAAAGAAGGCAACTATTCTCATAATTGGTATGTATCCCAGGTAGGAACAACTGTTAGGTTTTTTTCCCCCTCTGAAATCAGGCCACTTAACAGTATTTATTTTGGCAATTTTATCTAATATCTCAAATTCTTTATTTGATAAAACATCAAAGTTTATATATATCCTCTGAGATTTCCTGGTTGTCATATATTTATGAAATGATATTTCTAAGACTTACTTATACAGATCATCAACCCAAGTGGTACTAAGACTGGTGTTTACCTGAACTGATGTATTCAAGTATCTAACATTAACAGCATATGGTAATGTGATTGCTATGGGAATTTAGTGATTAATTTTGTCACACTTACTTTTGTAATCAGTAATATTTTGTGAAGCTTCACCTAGAAGGTAGAAAATAGTTCATTCTATAAGCTTCAGTATCTTTTTAATATTTCCTACATACCTTGTCCTCTGTATGGCTAAAGATATGTTTTACAAGTATTTCGTATCCTTAAGTGATCTAAATTTTTTTAAATTGCACTTAGCATTGAAAGGTATACAAAGGTAGATGACAGTTCTATAAACTTATAATCTGGAAGGAGGAGACACCTGGACAAAAGTAACTACAGGCAGTCCCCAGGTTACGAATGTCAGACTTACTTGCAAACAACTCCTACTTGCCCTTTAATGTTATGTAAATTTTGCCCTCACTTTGAAATGAATGAACCAAACCCTACTTGTAACAAATTCTTCCTCACAGTCACCTTCACTTGCTGCACATGCAGCTTTTAAATCACTGAAAAGGCTTCGAGCCTTTTCTTGCAGTAAAGTAAGACTAAGTAAGAACTGTATGCACTTGTTCCGACTGAACCTACGAATTCGCCTTAAAGACACAGTTAGGAACCGATCTCGTTTGTAACCCAGGGACTGCCTGTATAATACAAAACCAGAACAAATGAATTTTATAATCTATACTACCTAGGTGCATTGGTACTATGGTAAAAGAAGAGAGTAACTCCCATTGGGGTAGTTTGTGAGAGGTATGTGTAGAGTAGTTGGAGGGAGGTAGGAGTGCTTTTACTGAAAGGGATGGTATCAAAACTAGACATTGAAAGACAGTTATGATTGTATAGCTCAGGAATTCTTTCGTGGATCTGACATCTAAGAGATTTCAACAGATGGAGACAAAGGAAGAAGGTCATTCCAAGCAGAGGAAATTGTGTATAAGCAATGTCAAGAAGGTAATGAAGATAGGTTGGTTTGGGCAGTGAGTATCTCTGAGAATTTGAATCACAAGAAATACTCATGCAGGTCTACAGTTTAAATCCATACCACCAGCATAGTTCAAAACACCTCGAGCAGAAAGATTAATTTATTATTATTTTTGGAGTGATTAGTCAATAAAAGCGTTAAACAGCAGAGATTTCAAGTGGTATTACCTTTGGGGCAACAAAAAAGACTATCATGTTTGTTTATTAATAATATTGTGTTTTAGGTGAAAGTTTACACAGCAAGTTAGGTTCTCCTTTAACATTTTTTTGAAAGATTAATTTAAAGTAGTATAAAGTTGATAGTGCCCACAGGCAGCTGGCAAAAGTGAACACAAATCCTCCCTGGTAGAATCTTTCAATCCACAGCTACAGCGATCTTAACATTCCATTAACTGTAAGATGCATACTTATTTCAGAAATGTTAAAGTGTGAGAAGACATGTGTTTTAGAAATAAAGTATGGAGTCAGTTCTTATAGGGACTTTCCAGCATGCTAGGCAGCCTTGAGTGGGTCTTGTAAATTCCAAATGGAGTTAATTAGGTAATGGTCAGGGGGAAAGGTAATATGGAGAAGGAGCAGGGAGTTATACAATCTCTTCAAGCCTATCTTTATTCTGGTACATGCAAGCTAGACTGTCAGAAATGACAGATGGCACACAAGTTATTTTCCTCCCATGCCTATGAATAGCCAGAACAGTGCCTGGCACATAATAAATGCTCAGTAGATAATTTGAATGAATAAATCAGTGATTAATTTTGACACTCCTCTCTTACTTAGCTTGACTAAACCTCATAATCCTTTTAAATACAGCAATCACTAACAATAAATCAAGGTTGGCCCATGATTTTGAAACCTATTTCCATCTCTAAGTACAGATTTTGAGGCAGAAAATAATTTGATGAAAACAGGAGAAAGTACTAGCCTTTGAAGTCATCCAGCCTGAACTATAGTGCTTATTCTATAAAAGACATGGCAAGTCTTTTATTATCAATGCCAGTTTTCTCATTTAGAAAAGGGAGTAATTTCTCACCTGCCTGCCTCAGAGGGCTATAATGAGTCTCAAGAAGGATGATAGATATGGAGTGCTTTTTAAACTGAAACACTTAGAAGAGAGAGCTTTATAATATTTTAGGTAGCTTATTGCTTTTTAAATTGAAGTGCTTAAGAAGTGATTTTAATAATATTTTAAACAGCCTATTTTTACATCTATATTGAGGATGATGGACTTGAATAGAAAAAGACTAAAGGAAGGGATTTCTAGGTAAGAAGGGGAAGTTTGTTAAGAATTGTTGGCATTTACTTTTTGGAAGCTGAGCATAAAAGAAGAAATAGATTACTTACTATTTTGAGGGCAGCAGTAATGTTAATAGTTACAAGGATGTTGATAAAAACTGAGTTTTGGAAAGAAGCTCATTCTGATATGTTAGACTCCAGATAAGATTGCTTTGTTGTTGTTGCTAGGTGCTGTCGAGTCTGTTCCAATTCATAGCGACACTATGTACAACAGAACAAAGCACTGCCTGTCTTGCACCATCCGCACAATCACTGTTATGCTTGAGCCCATTGTTACAGCCACTGTGTCAATCCATCCATTTGAGGGTCCTCCTCTTTCTCGCTGACCCTCTACTTTACCAAGCATGATGTCCTTCTCCAGGGACTGGTCCCTCCTGATAACATGTCCAAAGTATGTGAGACATAGTCTTGCCACCCTTGCTTCTAAGATTGCTTTACCTTCTGATAAATGGGAGGCATGGAAGAGACTGAAGGATTTATGGCTCACTGAGGTTTCTTTTCTTGAATAAGGATACAAATTCATTTAGGATCATAAAGATGAAGTCTTATGTGTTGGCTTATGTGTTGAATTATGTGAGACTACTTTCAAAATGTTTCGACGTAGTTCTAAAGATGTTAGTGAAGGTCACATCTGACCTTACCGGGAGTTAGAGAGATGACATTGCAACCCCAGTGACTATGACTTAGGCTGACCTGGGAGGATGTGACTGGTTAGGGTTAACATATTCTGCATGATCAATACCTAATTCATAAGAATTCATAATCCATAATTCAGCTGTGCAGTGAATATTAAGAATTTTCAATTAGACTAATAATAAAACAGAGAGATTACTTCAGTTTATTGACCAATAAATGTACTTAAATGAAATTGAAATTGAAAGCATGGTTTCTGGCCATTGACTAACTAATCTCATCAATTTGTTGGATAAAAGTCAGCAATTTGAGCATAAACAAATTATTTTTATGTAAATAATTCATATCACCCTTTATTTTCTAATATCCTGTAAAATTTTATTATTGGTGAGTTATGAACTAAGGCACAGATATTAAATCTTATTTTTCAAACTTGACTCTGACATTTATTATAAATATCTTCTCCACCCTTCCCTACCCCAGCTTTTGTATCTGGAAAATAAAGGTACCAGAAGATGAAATTATCCTGATAAAATTTACAAGTTTAGACATAGAAAATCAAGGTAGATGTGATCATGACTATGTATCATTGCAATCAAGTAAAGGAATGCCTGTTAGTAAGTGTTACATATATTTCATTTGTCATTGTAGAGTATCTAAGAAAACAAAGGGGTGCTAAACCATCTAAGATTTAGCTTTCTGCACAAACGATAATTATTTTATCTTGCATATTGTGCCCTCTTTGAAGGACAGGGAAGGGATAAGCATGGAAAGGGAACAGCCTTTTGACTGATCTTTCACTTCAAAGTGTTTTTCTAAATCAGGTGCCAAATATCACTTTCCCTTCAAGTTTATTAACAAAGTATTGAGCGAATTTGAAGGTGCAGTTGTCAGAAAACTTCCTTTCAAAACATTTATTTTTCATTTTTATTATAAAAGGAGTGCAGACTTGTCAAATTTGGTAAATTTACAGATGACCAAAAGAAATAAAATATAACCCATTCAGAACCCTTCCACCTGGAGATAACAGCTGTTAACATTTTAAATGTGTATCAATTTACATGTATTAACTATACATGTTGTTTTACGGTGTACTTTTTTTTTTCCAGGACACAGTAGATCATTTTTTCATGTCATTAAATTTATTTTATCAAATACTGTTATGTTATACAAGCATAATTAATGTATTTACTTCAATTGAAATATTATGTGTTAAGCATCATAAAGGGTCTCTATACCTGGTATAGACCTCAATCTTTATACGTTTTGATAGGCCAGTAATTACGACAAATGTTTCTTCACAAATATTTGGCAGTATGCTATGTACAAGGTGTGGTGTTACGTGTTATGATATTCATTGATGAAATGTTTTCATGCCGCAGGCCCCCTATTTACCCAGGAAGTCATTCTTCCAACCAGTCATTTGTTAAAGTCAACTATGTACCAGATACTGGGCATATAATAGAGAGAAAAGGGAATCTCTTTCCTAATGAGCTTGCAGTTTGGTGAGGTAACTGAAGTTGTATCACAGGGTAGGAAATTACATAGAATTAAGAATGTGCTGTAGTGATCCAAAAAAGGTAGCTTTTATTTCTAGTAGGTGTCTGAGAAATTTGATAGAAGAACTAGACTTTGAGTTAGGCCCTGAAGGATGAGTAGGATTTGGACATGTGAGATTGGGGCTGAGAAGGTAAATGGAATAGTAAAATTATTGAAACAGAGGATATGAAATGATTAAGGGGACCACTGAACAGTTTGGCGTGTTTAGAACAGAGAGTTCATGGAAAATAATATTAGGAAACCAAGCATGTATATAAATTTGTTTCCATCATTCTTTTAGAAATCTTATTTCAGTTTCTTTTCCTTTTTAAGGTAAGGTCTGTGGAGATATGTTGCCCTCACCTTTGCTGACAAACACAAATGAGACCACAGTTACGTTTGTTTCTGATACAGAAAATGGTGGCAGTGACTTTAAGCTTACCTTTACTGCTGTACGGAAGAGCTCAGAAGCAGGTAAGTATTTCAGGTATTTAGTTTCCTGCTGTTTTTCTTTGATAATGGGAATAAGCAGGGGGAAATGCTGGTGGCCATTCACTTAGGCTTTCTCCAACACTTTCACAGATTCAGGCTGTGGGAGAATGGCTATATTGGTAGAAGAAGGGACAATTCACTCTGCCAGTTATCCTGACTTGTATCCCAGGAGTGTAACGTGTCGTTGGTTCATTCACGCTCCAGAGAAACACATTATAAAGGTAGGCAACTATGAAGGCAATCTACTTCACAGAGGATTTTGCTGTGTTGATTAGGCAGAACTTACTTCATATGTACAGTTAAATTGCCATTATGACCAGAGGCTTCTATCTGTCATTGTTTTTACTCACCCTCATTAGGGTTCCATATAACTTATTTTCATGGTCCCACCGCACAAGAGTGCCATGTACCTTATTTACATTGTTAGCAAGCTATCCAATCCGCTTGGTGGACCACAAGCACCTCACTTACATAGTGTCACCCAATCACGTGGTAGGAGTTAGAAGACCATGGCAAGAAAGGCCATATAAAAGTAATCCATCACACCACACTTAGCAATACTTTTTCCACTTAAAAATATCTCAAATATCTTTTCATAGGAGCTCTTTTTAATGACTACATAAAATTACATTGTGTAATCTTCCATAATGTATTAAACCAGTTCCTTATTAACAGACATTTAGTCAGTTTCTACATTGCTGCCATGCACATTCCTGTGTCACTGTTTTTGGACACATGTGGATGTATGTAATTCCTAGAAGTAGAATTTATGCATTTAAACCTGGTAGTCATTGCCAAACTGCCCTCCAAAAAGGCTGCATTTATTTACATTTCCATCAATGGCATATAAGGATGTGACTGAGAGCCTTTTAATTTACAGAGGAAACTTTTTAACTTTATCTCTTCTCATCCTTGACCGCTTCTCTGGTTATGTTTATAGTTTGTACCGTTGGCATTTGAGGACTTTACTGTTGAATTTAACCAAAACTGTGCATATGATGTTGTTGTGATTTGTGGTGATCCAGAAGAGGAGCATGAGTTAGGTAAGTAACATTTTGTCCTTTAAACCGAATTGGAAGAGCATTGACTAACCAGAGTAGTTGCAGCATGGGCTGTTTTCCTTGGGAACCATGTATCGTCGGAATATGAAATTTCCTGCACTGGAAACTCAGTACCATAAAACTTTATCTTTAAAACCCATGAACCAGCAACTGACTCACCAGCAAAGTTTTTAATAGAAACACGCAAAATGTGAACAGTGTTTCAGAATGATTAGAATGTGAGTAGGATGTCCCTGGGATAAAGGGAAAATGGTACCAGTGAGTAAATTTTCAGCGCCTATGTAAGGTGAATTTTTAAACTTCCTTCTTTTTGTACTAATCCTTTCTATTGTTGAGATTTTCAGTTTTGCATCCAAGAGCAGTAACCAAAAGCTATAATTTTCTGCTTTTGCCTTAAAGTTAATTTCTTGAATTAAAACTTCAAATACACTTTAAGTTATGACCTAAGTTTACTGAGTATAGAGAATTAACTTCCAGCCATGTAGCCATTTTCTTAGGACCTATTATTTGTCCCTCAGCTGGAAGTGAGTCAGTGTAGGCTAGAGATCAGGAATATAGACAGGTTAAGAATATTTATTTAGACACTGAGTAGGTAAATGGAAGCACAGTCCCATGATCCAGAAGAATGGTATATGTATATTGAGGGGTTTAGGCAAAGCAGGAGATGACGGGTGTTTGTTCACATGAAGTCTACCATGTTCTGTTTGTTGTTGTTGTTGTCAGTTGCCATCCAGTTGTGTCGACAATAAACAAGTTTGAGATTTTCTTTTACCCACTTCTACTCATTGTCTACAAATTAACAATCTACTGGGGTTTCTGTGCATACTAGAAATCAGATGAGACTTTACCCTATTTATAGAGCTTTTACTGTGAGATAAAATAACTATACATTGTTATCTTGAAACTAGTGTTTAATTTTCCACAGGAGATGTAAAGGCGTGCCTAGGGGTGGATTAACCAGTGAGGAAGGTACACCTGGGCTTACTTGTGTTTACTTACTCATCTGTAGTGCACACTTTCTCATGGGTTTCACCACATCAAAGATGTGAAACAGGTGAAATTGTGTACTACAGATTAGTAAGTAAGCACAAGTAAACCCATTCATACCTTGCTTATTGGGTAATCCGTCCCTGGGTGTGCCTACAAACCAAAGTTGTTTAAAAAAATTAATTGGATGATATTTTACTTCTGTTTTCTGATTTTTGATAACAATAAATCAAACTTCCCTAAAACTTTCACAGCTAAACTTTGTGGAATCTTGAACCTCACCCCAATATGCAGTCCTAGTAACATGATGGTTGTCATGGATTGAATTCTGTCCCCCCAAAAATGTGTGTATCAATTTGGCTGGGCCATGATTCCCAGTATTGTGCAGTTGTCCTCCACTTTGTGGTTGTAATTTTATGTTAAAGAGGATTGGGGGGGATTGTAACACCCTTACTAAGGTCACATCCCTGATCCAATGTGAAGGGAGTTTTCCTGGGGTGTAGCCTGCACCACCCTTTACCTTACAAGAGATAAAAGGAAAGGGAAGCAAGCAGAGAGTAGGGACCTCATACCACCAAGAAAGCAGTACCAGGAGCAGAGTGCATCCTTTGGACCTGGGGTCCCTGTGCAGAGAAGCTCCCAGTCCAGGGGAACATTGATGAGAAGGCCGACAGAGAGAGAATGCCTTCCCCTGAAGCTGACGCCTGGAATTTGGTCTTTTAGCCTACTTTACTGTGAGGAAATACATTTCTCTTTGTTAAGGCCATTCACTTGTGGTATTTCTTTTACAGCAGCACTAGATAACTAAGAAAATAGTGATACATTTTAAAAGTGATAGTGAAAATAACTTCTGTAGCTTCAAGGTGAGATTCACCTTTTTGCCTTCAGGTAAGTATTGTGTACTCACTTGTATACACTTGTTTATTTGTGTAATATTGATTTTTGCTTATGAAATAGGTTGTTGTAGGGAAGATAATTTAGCCATAGTCCCCTACATTTAGGGAGCTTTGAATCACCTGAGTGGCATAACAAAAATACAGATTCTTGGGCCCATCCCGAGAGGTTTTAGTTCTGTAGGTCTGGGATGGGGCTCAGGAATCTGTATTTTAGTAAGCACTTCAGGTGATGCTCAATAAACTGCATTCAATATCCTAGAGAAATAAGAGCTGTCACACAAATAGATATATGCACGCCCATGTTCATTGCAGCACTGTTCATGATAGCAAAAAGATGGAAACAACCTAGCTGCCCATCAACGGACGAATGGATAAACAAATTATGGTATATTCACACGATGAAATACTACGCACCAATAAAGAACAACGATTAATCCGTAAAACATCTTATAACATGGAAGAATCTGGAGGGCATTATGCTGAGTGAATTTAGTCAGTCACAAAACGACAAATATTGTGTAAGACCACTATTATAAGAACTCAAGAAAAGGTTTAAACACAGAAGAAAACATTCTTTGATGGTTATGAGGGTGGGGAGGAAGGAAGAGGGTTATTCACTAACTAGATATTAGACAAGAATTATCTTAGGTGAAGGGAAGGACAGCATACACTACAGGGCAAGTCAGCACAACTGGACTAAACCAAAACTAAGAAGTTTCCTGAATACAACCAAACACTTCAAGGGACAGAGTAGCAGGGGTGAAGTTCTGGGAACCATGCTTTCGGGGGACATCTAGGTCAATTGGCATAACAAAGTTTGTTAAGAAAATGTTCTGTATCCTACTTTGGTGAGCGGCGTCTGGGGTCTTAAAAGCTAGTGAGCAGCTGTCTAAGATGCATCAATTGGTCCCAACCCACCTGGAGTAAAGGGGAATGAAGAACACCAAAGTCACAAGGAAAGTATTAGCCTAAGAGACAAAGGGCCACATAAACCAGAGACTTCATCAGCCTGAGACCAGAAGAAATAGATGGTACCCAGCTACCACCAATGACTGCCCTGACAGGGAACACAACAGAGAGTCCCTGATGAAGCAGGAGAAAAGTGGGGTGCAGAACTCAAATGCTAGTGAAAAGACCAGACTTAATGATCTGACTGAAACTGGAGAAACTCCAGAAAGCATGGCTCCCAGACTCTCTGTCATCCCAGCGCTAAAACCGTGCCCGAGGCTAACTCTTCAGTCAAAGATTAGACTGGACTATGGGACATAAAATGATACTCGTGAGGAGTGTGCTTCTTAGCTCAAGTAGATACATAAGACTAAATGGGCAGCTCCTGTCAGGAGGTGAGATGAGAAGGCAGAGAGGGTCAAGAGCTGGTTGAATGGATATGGGAAATCAGGGGTGGAAAGGAGGAAGGTGCTGTCAGAGTATAGGGAGAACAGTTCGGGTCACATAACAATGTATGTATAAATTTTTGTATAAGAGACTAACTTAATGTAAACTTTCACTTAAAGTACAACAATAAAATAAAATTAAATTTAAAAAGAAACTGCATTCACTAGCATATAAATAAAGATTTCAAGCACCATATGAAAAATAGAGATGTAACTCAGAAATGAGATTGTCTGGCTCTGTTTAAGGATGTTAGAGGGTTTTGAAGGATTAACAGGTTTCTAGATACTCTAGAGTATAAAGTTTCCTTTACTCAGACAAAAGGAATATTATGCAAAGACTCTAGTTGTAAGAGAATGGATGATGTAAAAAGAATCTACAAATAATTCAGTGTTGTTGGAACAATGGAAAGAATGATGAAGAAGGCAGGAGTTACATTATGATGGACAGGGGGAATTAAATTTTAAGTACCAGAGTGGTAAAACAGCTAACTAACATTCACTGATTACTTGCTATGTACCAGATATGGACTAAGCATTTCATATGCATTATTTATTCCTCCTACAAACATTGTCCCACTTGTGACAGATACAGACACAGCTGGCAAGAGGTGGAGTTAAAATTCAGACTTTGCTCTCTCTGACTCCAGAGTAGCGTAGAAGATGGAGGAGGGGACTAGGGATGAGCCTACATACAAGGAGAGTAGTGAGGAGATCATCAAAGGAATTTATTCCAAATGTACTGCTTGATTATATATGCGATGAGAAGAGGGATGTGAAGAAGGAAAATTCCAGCATAGTGTTCAGCATTGTTGTTTGAGTGACTAGACAGATGATGGAGCCACCCAGTGATATAGGGAAACGTAAGAACGAGACCACATTGACTATCAAGATCAGTTGGTCCCATTTGACGCATGTGAATTTTGATGTGCTTTGGGACATCCAGGTGGAGATATATACCAGTACTAGGTCTAGAATTCAGGAAAGAGATTCAGATTGAAGAGAGAAATGTGGAAGTTATATGGATGTAGATGAATAAAAATAGCCTTAAGAACATTATACCAGTTGCCATTAAGTCAACTCTGACTTATGGTGACCCTATGTGTGTCAGAATAGAACTGTGATACATAGGGTTTTCAATGGCTGAATTTTCAGAAGGAGAGCAACAGGCCTTTCTTCTGAGGCACCTCTGGGTGGACTTGAATGAGCCTACAACCTTTCAGTTAGCAATTGAGTACATTAATGTTTGCACCACCTAGAGACTCCTTAAGAATAGTACCTTGTGAAATATCCTTTTGGGTCAAAGAGTAGGATTCTTAAATAAAAGACTGAGATTGAGAAAGTATGGACATTAGACATATTAAGAAAACTAAGAGTGTAGTTTCATGGAGCCAAGAGGGAGGAAGTGCTTAAAACAGTCAGATGTAACAGCAATATTAAGAAATATATAAGAAATTGCATTTATGGGATCTGGCATTTAACATATAAAAGGTAGTGTTAGTAAGATCAACATTATAGTGATATCATGACTGAAGATTGTAAGCAAGTAAAGTCAGGAAGTCTACTCTAAATTAAAAACCAATTTTCCTTTATAGCCTCTAGACAAAATTGGACCAACATTGCCTTCCAAAACTAATCCTGTACCTTCTGCAAAAGCTTTTCCATATGGTGAGTTGATGACCATATCTGTTTAATTTCCTTTTTTCATTAACTAGATGTCTCTTTTGGAAAGTTGTATCTTGCGGTGAAATAGATCTATAAAGAAGAACAATGAGTTATACATTTAACTCCATGAAACTTCCAAAATCCTGTTTAGGGTTTGCACATAGACTATTTCAAAAAGAAAGATGAAGAAATAAACTGTATGTTAGGAAGAAGGGGTACAGATAACAATCCTTTGCTCTCACCTATTTTTGTATAAATGTAATATTGAAAATGTCTTACTAGACTCTGTATTTAATATGATTAGGCCTTGTAGGGCAAAGGGGAAAACAGTTTTTTTTTTTTTTTTTTTTACTCTCACTAGCATCTTTTAACTTCTCTATAATCTAATGCATCTGGTTAAACATTATAATCTTTCACTGTTCCACACGCATGTATTGAGTGTGTTCTAGTTGATTAGCTATAGATGGTTGTCTACCTCTTACTAGGAGCCTGTCTGCTCTTACTAGGAGTCAGAAGGCTTTGAGGAGGAGAGAGCTCTTGAGCTGAGTCTCAGCGATATTCCATCCAAGAGAAGGGCATTTGCATATTCTTGAATGCCTGAGCAAATTTGGCATGTTTGAGGATTGGTGAATGATCTCATACAATGATAACAAGAGATAAAATGAGGCTATATATTGAAACACCTTCTGTGCTCTGCTAACAAACTTAAAATTATCCGATTAGGATATAACCTAGATGAGGGCTAGAATTTTTGCCTCTTTTATTCACTGGTATAACTGACAGATAGAAAGCTCTAAGTATTTGTTAAAAGAATGTGTGACTGTTATTCTGTAGGCCTCAAAACCTGATTGCTTAGCAAGGTCACCTGGACAGCTTTTTAAAACCAGATTCCTCAGAGGTAAGTCCTGGGAATCTGTATCTTTATAAAGCCCATCTGGTGTTAAAGAATGACTACTGTCTGTAGGCTTTGGAAACTGTTGGAGAATGAGTGTGTTCTGAATTATTTCAGCTGCCTGAGTCATTAGTGCCATCTTCTTTGCTGTCGATGTCTGTGGTAACCCTCCTTTTAGCCCCCACTGGCATTCCAGAATTGCAGGAGGGAAAGAAGCCTGCCCTCGCTGTAGGTCATGGCAGGTGGGTTTGAGATTTAGGAGATCACCAGTGTGGTGGTGTCATCATCAACCCAATTTGGATTCTGACTGACTGCAGACCACTGTCTACAATCGGGAGTGAAACTAATTACTAATCCACTGTGCGTAATTGAGAGTGAAACTAATTACTAATCTATTAGCACATGTGCTTATACACAATGCCTAGGACACAAGTATAGTTGTCTAGATTCTAAGATCCTCCAGACCAATTCTAACGCAGAATTTTTTCTTTCAGTGTTTTCTTTTGCATATCCATCTAGCCTCTATATAAACAAGCTCAGTGAGGGGAAAGTTTGTCATATCTTGAAATTGCTCATTCCATTTATAGAGATCTGACTATTATGTTGAGCCAAAATCTGCTTCTCTATGACAGAAACCTATTGGTCTAAATTTACTGTAGTTCTAGAAAACAAGAAATAAGTCTGTTTGCTCTTTCATATAGCAGTCCGTCATATATTCAAAGTCCTCTCTCACCTTGCCCTTTAATTTAATCTTTAAGCTAAATGCCGTAGTTCTGTTGTTGGTTGTTAGGAATTCCATATGTGTTACCATGCACCATCCTCTTGACTGGTTTTGCATTGCTCCTTTTAAAATACAGTTCGCATCAGCAGAGAGCACAATAGGACGATCCACCACCTTGATAACGAGACTATTAGTAAACTGAAATTTTGGTTAAAATTTTAAATGTTTTTAGATTGTGAACTATTCCATGGTATGGAACAGTGCACATAATACATATATAGCTTAAGGAATAGTTATAAAATGTACATTTGCATCTCAACCATCCAGTTTAGGAAGGAGCTTTACTCCTCTGTGCCCTGCTCAACAGGTAAAGACTATCCTAATTTTTGTATTAATAATTTCTTAGCTTTTTTAACATACATGTATCCCCAGAAAACATTGTTGGCTTTTGCTTGGTTTTCATTTATGTAAATTTATTTATGAAAATTCGTTTATTTATGTAAATAAAACTGTAGTTTATATGCTTCTGTGATTTACCTTTTTTCTTCACAACATGTTAAATAGATCAATCTATTAAGTGCTTACTTGTAGGTTCAGGATATCTGTATTTAAAAAAAAACAACAACAGATGATTCAAACATGCAGCCAGGGTTGAGAACCACCCCTACACTCTGACCCCATACTGACCACTTCCCCTCTTGCTCACAGTGGGTCGACCCCATAGCCTTTCTGTTCCTGAAACATGCGAGTTTGTTCCTATCTCTAGGTCTTTGTAGTCACGCTTCCTTCTGCCATCCAAGGTATCGCATTACATTTAACCATTATTTCTCCTTAGGCCTCTCTGGTCTGTGACAGTTTCTGACACTTTCCCTAGTTTTGATGATCTTGACAGTTTTGAGAAGTACTGGTTAGGTATTTTGTAGAATGTCCCTCAGTTTGGGTTTGCATGATGTTTTTCTCATGACCACACGGGGGTAATGGATTTTCAGGGGGAAGACCACAGAAATAAAGTGCCATTCTCATCACATCATGTCAAGGGTACATGCTATCAACATGACTTATGCTTTAACGGATTTGTGGTATGGTAAGACAGGTGTAACACATGTAAGAGGAGTCAGGGAGACATTGAAAACTAACTAGCTTTATTATATTCACAGTTCCCAGAAACAGGGAGGCATAGCACACCATGGTGCAGGGCCACATGGGGTTACACCTAGGGACAATGTAACAGCAAGCTGGAATTGTAGCAGAGGGCAAGTAAGGTGAGGTTAGCTAAATTGCATGGACTTCCTGGAAAGTTGGGCATTGAATAATTCGGCAGGCTCGGGGGCATAGGAGCTGTCCCTGGTTGTTGAGTACCTGGCCCTAGGTGATTGGGATGGGTGTATAGTGGCCCAGGAGTATGAGAACCTGATAAGGGATGTGGTTTGATTGTTAGCTTAATTAGCTACTCAAAAAGGGAAATGGACCTGCCTCCAACCAGGACCTCAAAATTGTGTCAAGACGGCATTTTAAGAACATAGTATCGCAACTTATTACTGTTTGTGTTAACCTTGATTACCTGGGCCAGGTAGTGTTTGCTAGGTTTCTCCACTGTAAAGTTACTTTTTTCCCCTTTCCATACTGTGCTCTTTGGAAGCAAGTCTAAGTGCAGCCCACACTCAAGGGGTAAGGAGTTAATCTCCGCCTTTTTGAGGGGGCAGTATCTATATAAATTATTTAGAATTCTTGTGCATGGGAGATTTCTCTCCTCCCACATTTATTTGTTAAGCTATTATATCAGTATAGACTCAGGGATATTTATTATGTTTTGAGTTATAATCTAATACTGCATTGTTTTCTGCTCATTGGAAGCTTTGGCCATTGGAGCTCTTTTTGGTTGACTCTTGTGTCCCTTTGACATGTCATTATCCTTTTGTGATAGTATAAAATGTTCCAGGCTCATCTTGTACTTTCTCTGCCCCAGTCCTAGAATCAGCCATTTCTCCAAAAAGCCTTGGTTCCTTTTATTGGAGATTGGTATTAGAAACCAATATCTGGGTGCTGGGCATACTTGTTGTCACTGGAGTATCATTGCTTCTAGGCCCTTTCAGCTCTCAGAGCTAGAAATATAGATATGTATACTAACCTATGTATGCAAGCATGTCTATAATTATTTCTATATCCATTTGTATCTATATTAAGCTAAACATTAATTCATGCTGATGTCCAGTACCACATGTTCATTCTAGCTTTTTCCCCTCAAACAAACCTATTTAATAAGAATTCTATCAAAGCACATTTTTTATGTACCATGTAAAGGAGTCTTGATCAGTTGATTAATTAGTGAAAATTAGTATACTGGAAAAGGCAAAAAATAGTATTGAGGCCAGGGGCACAGAAGAAGCTTTGGCAGATTCCTTTGTCAAATAATATAGTCGATTCTTGAACTTATGTAATGGACAATGACACTTTGCTGCAAGACACAGAACACAGCAAGACCATTCTTCTCAAGGTGGATATTCAACTTGATGAGTCAATTGAGATGTCAACGGTTCACATTAACCAAAAAAAACAAAAAAAGAATCTATATTCAATTTCATCAGTGACTTCTTGGTTTCTCTTTTAAAAAATATATTAAAATATTAATGCTTTGGGAAAAGCTAGCTACAGAAAGTTATCAAGTAAAATCCAGGCTACCCTAACCATTTTATTAATCCAATCTTCCTCTCTAGAAGTAATCATTGTTAAGAATTTTTTAAATAATCTGATTTTGCATTAATATTTAAGTACATATACATACATTTATACTATTTTTATACATCATATATTGTTTCATAACCATTGGACTCACCATCACATCTTATATTTGTACTGATATGGAAAATGTCTCTAATTCCATAGTGACTCTTTTCTTCTCCCATAGCAGTAAGTGATGTCTCATTGTCTGAATTGAGGATAAGATCCTAAGGATATAAGAGATGAAATTTGATTACGGGCAAGTGGGAAGAAGAGGTGGAGAAATTCATCAACTGATACCTTGAACTATTAACCCCATTAAACTAGGAAAAATCTCGGGCTTTGTTGGCTCACATAGTGTACCTTGTTCTGTCACGTGCTTTCCACACAGTATCCTCCACCAGATTAAAGGATGCTTTCATAACTGCGCAGGAGCTCTGGTGGCACCGTGGTTAAAGCTCAGCTGCTAACCAACACGTTGCAGTTGGAATCCACCAGCCATTCCTTGGAAACCCTATAGGGCATTTCTCCTCTGTCCTATAAGGTCGATGTGGGTCGGAATCAACTCAGTGGCCACGGGTTTTTGGTTCATGACTGAGAGTAAAACTTCACTAGAGATTGTGATTCACATTATCAATTCTATACCATGATTTCTATTATTTCGTTTTGTTATATGTACTATCTTCTGTATAAAGAGTGGCTTTAAGAAATAATAGCGCCTTCACTGCAATGTAATAAGTTAGTGAGCGACTTTAAAAATAGAGCTTAATCTTTCCATGGGAGTGCATGGCAGATGACAACAATGATAATGGGTAACATTATGGGTTCTTACCATCTGCAGGGTACTTGCCAAGCACTTAATAAAGTCATATTGAATAAACATAAATAACTCAAACTTACTATACAAGAAACTGAAATTAACATGATTACGGCTAGAGAGGAGATACCTACATGTATTAAGAAACTTCTTTGAATAAAGTATACTGAAAAAATAATTTCAATAACTGCTTTTTTTGAAGAAACAGTTTTAGAAAATGGAAAAATTAATCTCTAAACTGAAGTGATAGTACATTTGTGACAGTTAAGGACTCCTTCCTTCGATATTTTTTCAGTGAGACATCTTGATGTGGCAAATAAATGGATGTGGATTTAAGCTTTTTAAAAAAAAAAAAATCTTAGTAAAGTGTAACATTCTTAAAGAAATATTATAAATTTTAAGTATACAGTTAGAAGAATTTTCATAAAGTAGACATCCATGTAACCAGCACCAGATCAAGAAAGCAAAATATTACCAACACCCCAAACCCCCTCTGCCCCTTCCAATCAATTCCCGCCTAAAAGTAATCAGTGCCCTGACTTCTGACATCACAGGTGAATCTTGCCTATTTTTGATGGCAAAAATGGTTAAGCATTTGGCTACACAAAAGTTTGGTGGTTCGAATCCACTCAGAGGCACCTCAGAAGAAAGGCCTGGCTATCTACTTTCAAAGGATCATGGCCATCGAAAACCCTATGGAGCACAGTTCTACTCTGAAATCCACAGGGTTGCCATGAGCTGGAATCAACTGCACAATAGGTTTTAAGTTCTTTTTAACCCCAGTTTTATCAGTTCTGGTGATTTGATAAAAGATAACTTGGGATGTATTTCTGTGAAATAACATTTGTATTCTTTTTTTTACAGTAAAACATAGGTCATAAGCTACCTCATTGCAGGGAATGTAATTTTTTAATGTATCCTTAATATGGCTATGAAATTAAAGTAAGCTATGATTTTTCTTTTTTCCTTCTGAACTTAAAAATAGCATTTAGTGATTTTTGGTACAGGCTTCAAAGACATGGAGGTCAAAAGAAGGGGGAAAGATACACAATTAAGAACCACTCCTCAGGCAGATCAGGAGGCATGGTGCAGTGACCCTGGTGGGCAGAAGATCACACAGGACAAAGGAGTGGGTAGCTCTTGGCAGAACTGAACAATACATGTTGGTAGTGCCAGATGGGGTTAGACCAAAACATGAAAGTGTGTTTTCGTACCAAACTCTAGTTATTCTTTTTTCTCCAGGAAAAATAATCCACTCTACTGGACTATCATTGCTGGGGACCATGGCAGGACACTGAAAGAATCAACTGAGCAGGTGAGAAACATTTTTTCAAGGTCATTCTGCCTGGGTTCTAAATGTTGTCACATGCTAGGGAGTACCCTTAGCTAAAATATGTAATTTAGTCATTAATCTCTTAGTGCCCCTCTCATTTATCATTTACGCCTACATTTAAAGGTAAAGTTTGAGGTGACATTTTAATTTGAGAATTAGATGCGAGGGGTGAGGAGTTTAGAATTCAGGTCTATGTGTAGAGGTCCACATAGTTTTGTCTCTTCAGGACAGTCTAAGAAGGTGGTTCATGTTTTCCTGCCAAGTATAAACAGATATTAGTGCAAAGTCATATTCACTGCTGGTGTGTGGAAATGAAATACAGAGATTTAAGATACATTTCTGATGATTATGCAGAGAACTAGCTTGACTCTTTGAATGACTTTTATCTTGAGATTTTCTTGCTTGCCGTTGATACAGGTGAGAAGGGCAAAACTCATTGTGGTACATGAAGACTTCAGTATGCTGAGCTATGACTCTGACGTTGCCCTAATACAGCTGAGCTCTCCTCGGGAGTACAGCTCAATGGTGAGGCCAGTATGCCTCCCACAGAGCACAGAGCCTCTGCTTTCCTCAGACATCTGTGCTATAACTGGGTGGGGAAGCATTAGCGAAGGTAAACATTTCACTCTTGTGTGAAGATTACTGTTACTACCAGTTAGTTTTGAAAATATGTCAGGGAAATGATACCTGATATGTCAGGGAAATGATATCTAATTTAACTTTTCTTTCTTCTGAAAGACAGAATCCATGTTTTATTTATCCATGTTCACTCAGCAAGTGACTAGAAAATGAGCTGTGTTCCATTTTTCCTTCAGAGTGACTTAGATCATAGCTAGACTAGACCAGGGGTCAGCAAATTTTTCTGCAAAGGACGAAGTGATAAATATTTTAGGATTTGCAGGCCATAAGGTCTCTGTCACAATTACTCAATTCTGACATGGTAATGCAGAGCAGCCATAGACCATATGTAAAAATCTAAATTTCACATAATAGTCATGTGTCAAGGAATATTATTCTCCTTTTGAAATTTTTTTCAACCATTTAAAAATGTACAAATCATTCTTAACTCACGGTTTTTACAAAAATAGCCAGGAGGGTAGGAGCCAGGAATTGGGCCACTGTATTTTGTCAACCCCAGACTAGATTATAGTGTTTGCAGTGCAGTAGGTTTCTCTTTATGTATGGCCTTTCTGGCCCTGGGTTTGTAGTTCACCAAGATGATTTGCTAGGCCACAGTGTTTCAGGAATTGGACAGTTTAGTATACAAATAAGGTGAGTAAAACCCTTGTAGGGAATGGTCACTTACTATGCAAATAAGGTGCTGGCCTATCGAGGGGATTAGTCAGTTTTGCCATCCTGATAGGCTTAAAAGAGCCACTCCCACAGAGCTTGAGGGGGACCTCACTACCATCAAGAAAAAGAGCCATGAGCAGAGTGCGTCCTTTGAACCTGGAGTCACTATACTAAGACCCTTCTAGACCCAGAAGACAGAGCTGTAACACTGGAGACAGATGGCACAAGATGGCATGAACAATGAGAACCAGGAGACTGGTGGGAGACAGCTGTGGTGGGCTTTCTGGCCCACAGAGCAAGGCAGCTGCAGTGGGCTTGCCGACCCACAGAGCAAGAGAGCTGAGGACCGTCAGGCAGAAGGCTTCCTGGTGGAGTGGGGTCCCTCCAGGCACTTATGGGCAGAGCTAAAGAGCTGTAACACTTGCCAGAGCAGGGTGGTAAGCCTGAGCAGAAGGGCCCTGTGGCAGTAGGCCCCGGTGGAAGGGCTGTCTTGGTTGGAAGCCATCCAGATTGGTGAACTGTATCCTGTTTCCTGAGTTCCTGTTACTTCCAAGTTGATCCTGACTCTAAATTGTAACCTGATAAACCCCATAATTGTGAGGATGGTCTGTGTGTTTTGTGTGGCCATTGCAATGAATTATCGAACCCAGTAGCGAAGTGGAGAGTGTCTTGGGAGGGATGGCTGGTGTCAGAATTGATAGAAAGGTTGGAAAGTGGAAGTATGTCTGACCTTCACCCCATAGGAATCAGTTTTGTGCTGGTCTTGATCCTCCTCTCTCCCCCTGAAGTTAGATGAGGTCTGATGCCACCACATTACAGTGTTCTTGAAGTCCCAGTAAAACACAAGCTTTGAATGAGCTGATACTTGTTTTTTTGCTTTCACTGCATAAGATTATTTTCTTTGTATATTTTCTTTCTCTTTATGTATTGCTTATTTATAATCTGTGAATTTGAAGGAGATGCTCACAGCATTCATATGTGCGACCTGCAACAAAATTGCATTTTCATGATGTCTTCTCAGCTACCTTATAAAAAGAATTTTGTCATCCTCATTTTGCAAATGAGGAGGTTATGACCCAAAGATTTAAGTAACTTGCTAAAATCCCATGACTAATAAATATCAAATCTAGGATTTAACATCAGTTTTGGCTTATAACCCTTGAATAGCTTTTCGTTACACTTAGAATAAAATATGAACTGTTTACCTTGGTTTGGAAAGCTCTGTGTGATTTGACTTAACTCTCCAGTCTCATTTCCTTCCTTTGTCTCCTTGTTGGCTAACCTTCAGACACTGCAGCTGCCTTTCTTCCTCTGGAAAATACCAAGCTTGTTTTGCTTTCTGAAGTTGTGTACTTCATTTTCTTCCACCTGTAACACTCTCATTGCACTTCTAACAGCTGCCTCCTCATCATGCCATTCTTGTCTCAAATGCCCCTTGCCTTTTCAGACCACTTTGCTGCAGCAGAACTGCCCCTTTTCATCACTTTCTATATTACCCAGTTTTATCACCTCAGAGCACTTAAACATACTTGTCGTTATTTTATGTGATTATTTTCTACATCTCACCCATTAGAACAGGAGCCTCTTGGAGACAGATTGGGAGATCTGTGTCTCCTTCACCAGCCTGTCACCAGAGACAGAAGCTTACCTGGCATAGAATAAGCACTCAGTAAATATTTGTTGACTGACTGACTTCAAAGCCCTTGGATAAATGTGCTTGCTCTTTAAGACCTTCAATCTGCACCAATTCCTTGACCACCAGACAACTGAGAGGTGGTTACAGTCTTGTAAAAGAAGAATTCATTTTTTCAAGCTGGTAGAGAAAATGATTTCTTAATTCTGAGACACCACCAGCAACCCCGAAAAGAGAATTTTTAGTGCATTAAAAAACAGCACTAGGTTTAGAGTGAGACCTAGGTTTGAATCTTAGATCTGTCCCATCAGAGCTGTGAGATCAAATTTTCAGAGCTCTTGCTTTTTCTTCTGTGAAATCAGTCTGATAGCCTACCTCACAATGTTGTTGTGAGTTTTAGATTAGGGTAAGGGCTTTGTAAATACTGAGAATGCAGAAATTATTGAACAATATCATGAATACCACACTCAAGTAAAATTTTGCTGAAGAGCATTCAAAAGTGGTTGCAGCAGTTCATCGACAGGGTACTGCCAGAAATTCAAGCTGGATTAAGAGGTCGTGGAACAAGGGATATCATTGCTGATGTCAGATGGATCCTGGCTGAAAGCAGAGAATACCAGAAAGATGTTTACCTGTGTTTTATTGACTATTCAAAGGCATTCGACTGTATGGATCATAACAAATTATGGATAACATTGGAAAGAATGGGAATTCCAGAACACTTAATTGTGTTCATGAGGAACCTGTACATAGATCAAGAGGCAGTCATTCGAACAGGACAAGGGGATACTGCGTGGTGTAAAGTCAGAAAAAAGTGTGTGTCAGGGTTGTATCCTTTCATCGTACTTATTCAATCTGTATGCTGAGCAAATAATCTGAGAGCTGTACTATATGAAGAAGAACTAGACATCAGGATTGGGGGAAGACTTATTAACAACCTGCAATATGCAGATGATACAACCTTGTTTGTTAGCTGAAAGTGAAGAGGACTTGAAGCACTTGCTGATGAAGATCAAAGACCACAGCCTTTAGTATGGATTACACCTCAACATAAAGAAAACAAAAAATCCTCAAAACTGGACCAATAAGCAACATCATGATAAATGGAGAAAAGATTGAAGTTGTCAAGGATTTCATTTTACTTAGATCCACAATCAACGCCCATGGAAGCAGCAGTCAAGAAATCAAAGGACGTATTGCATTGGGCAGATGTGCTGCAAAAGACCTCTTTAAAGTGCTACGAAGCAAAGATGTCAGACTAAGGTATGCCTGACTCAAGCCATAGTATTTTCGGTCACTCATATGCATGTGAAAGCTGGACAATGAAATAAGGAAGACCAAAGAAGAATTCATACCTTTGAATTATGATGTTGGTGAAGAATATTGACTATACAATGGACTACCAAAAGAATGAACAAATCTGTCTTCGAAGAAGTACAGGCAGAGTGCTCCTTAGAAGGAAAGATGGTGAGACTTCATCTCACATACTTTGGACCTGTTATCAGGAGAGATTGGTCCCTGTAGAAGGACATCATGCTTGGTAAAGTAGACTGTCAGCAAAAAAGAGGAAGACTCTCAGTGAGGTGGATTGACACGGTGACTATAACCATGAGCTCAAGCATGAGGATGGTGCCAGGACCTGGCGGTGTTCCATTCTCTTGTACACAGTATCACTATGAGTCGGAACCTCCTCAGTGACACCTAACAGCAACAACATATAAATGTATTTTTTATCATTACATTTTTCTTGAAAAGGTATAGGGCTATAAAATACTAAACTTACCTGTTAAAATTAGCTATAAATCTAAAGTAATGGAATAATTTATTTGGAATGCATGCTCACATAGCCCTGCCCTGCGGGTCAAGCATGAGAAGAAATTCTTTAGTGTCCATCATTAGTTTCATCTTGAATTGGAATTGAAGTTAGGCTTCAGTGGTAGTAGAAGAAAGCAGGGGAAGATGCTTTTGGTATATACTGTATTAGGAAAACCTTAGCAACATATATTGCTGAATTTCCCTTTGTGAACTTATTTTTTTTAACTGTGATTTTGGTGAAAGTTTACACAGCAAATTAGGTTCCCATTTAACAATTTCTGTACATATTGTTCAGTGACTTTGGTTATATTTTCCATATCGTGTCAGTATTCTCATTATTTCCATTCTGATTGTTAGATTTCCATTAATCTAGCTTTGCTACTCATCCCCACCGCCCCACCCTGACCTTCTCAACTTTACTTTAGCGTAGATGTTGACCATTTGGTCTCATATAGATTTTTTTTTTTTTTAAAGGAGCACAGTACTCACAAGTAACATTGATTTATTTTATGAGCCAATCTGTTATTTAGCTGAAAGGTGACCTCTGAGAGTGGTTCCGGTTCCAAATCTAAAGGGTATCTCAGGGTAATAGTCTCGAGGATTCCTCTTATCTCTTCTGGTCCAGTAAGCCAGGCCCTTTTCTTTTTTTCTTCTTTTTTTTTTTTTTAAGATTTGAGTTTTGTTTTACAATTTCCTCCCATTCTATCTGGGACCATCTATTGTGTCCCTGGTCAAAGTGGTCATTAATAGTAGCCACACTAGGATGTAGAACATAAACTTTATGGACTGTGTTGTGCCAATTGACCAAGTTGGCCCACAAGACTATGGTCCTAAGCCTTCAAACCCAGAACACCAATCCTGCAAAGTATTTGGTTACATCTAGGAAGTATCTGTGACTGTGTCCCCTATGTGCCTTGATATGCATATAAATATATGTGCAGCACACACAAACATGTATATGCATAGGCCTACAGATACACCTATACATGCACACATATATAGACACATATACCTTCCTGTACATATATATGCATACCTGTGTAACCACTCATGTATTTTTTGGTTGTTACTGCTGTTGTAATATCCTTCATTCTTGTGTACTTCTTAGTGTCATAGTTAACGTTGGTCGAGTTGGGCAGTCTTCACCCACATTCGGTATTGCCTTTCCTATCACCACAAATAAGAAGTGTCTACTGTCTACAGAGTGAATCCCCCTCCCTCCGCCTCCTGTCCCTATTAACCATCCAAGAATGTTGATTTCTGTAACTTTGTGAATATTTGCTGAATTTCTCTTTGTGAATTCTTATATAGCAATATTATTGTTGTCTTCATATTTGGAACACTAAAATCTAAAATGGAAATATGTTTTAAAAAAGGGTGGGGATTTCTGGTCTTGTTCTCCTGCCAATGGGTTTCACTTCACAAGAACACCACATCTGAAAATGAAGACATGCTGCACACAAGACACTTAGATTTTATGATTCAGTGTCCTACACCAACTCAGGCAAAACTGAATGGTTGTAGTTCTTTTGGTGCAGAGCAAGTGTGAATTTAAAATATATTTCTGTAACACCATTTGTTGCTTATGTCATTATCAAGCTCTCTCTTTCCAAATCTGTTTTCTGATTAGGTGGTGGCCCAGCAAGTCGCTTACAGCAGATGTAAGTGCCCATGTTAGAAAGAGAGGTCTGTGAAAGAACTTACTATCCTGCTCACCCAGGAGGGACAGAGAAGATGATCTGTGCTGGCTTTGCAGCATCTGGAGGGAATGATTTCTGCCAGGTGAGAGGATTCTGATTTTGCACAGGAAGATAGAAAGTTTCCATCTGCTGGAGCTTCTCTGTAGGCAGGAGGAAATCACTACAGAATCTAGACAACCAGCTTGCCCTGCACCTCTTAGCATAACACCACATCCTTACATGAACGCTAGTAGGACAACAGGAAGACTGAGTTACTTTATCCAAACGTGCTGAGGTGGCAGAGAGTGAGTGGAAGCAGCTGTACAGACAGAGTACATAGAACAGCCTATGAGAAGCTAGGAGATGGCAGCACCACTGACCAGGCCCAAGGGTGAGGGAGACATATTCAGATACTTCTAAGGCTTTGGAGAAAGTACCTCATTACTTCCGAAACTTCTGGACTACCTCATGGGTGGCAGTGGAAGGTAGGGAAGAGCCCTCAGGCACAGAGCCAGAACATGTTCTAGTGAAAGATCTGAGGGATCTGGGAAGGGCACTCACACTGAGTACATAAATAATGTTGTTGGGTGTCTTTGAGTCGATTCTGACTCATAGCGACCCCAGGTGACAGAGTAGAATGGCCCCATAGGGTTTTATTTGCTGTAATCTTTACAGAAGCAGATCACCAGTCCTTTTCTCCTGTGGAGCCACTGGGTGGGTTCAAACTGCCAACCTTTCAGTTAGCAGCCAAGCACTTAACTCTTACACCACCAGGGCTCCTACAGACTTGCACCAATTCCTTGACCAATTCCATTTTTAATTTGTTATAAAAAAATCAAATAGAAAGTTCTTTGAATTAATGTGCTCATTCTTTCCTTAGTCTACATTTTTCTCTCTGCTTTGAATCAAGGAAGTCACAAATGGCTTCTGTTGTCTCTGTCACATTTGACAGCGTCTAACATTAAGGAAAGAGCTTAATGTTGTATCAAGAGAGAAAAGAACTAGGGAGGGAATTAGGCAGGTCCATGTCAGAGGTGACCCAAATATATCATGATCATAGTCAGCCCCTGTTTTTATTTCCACTATATATGATTGTCACATTGGCTACAGTATGACCCAATTTGATGCCAATACAGGGGAAGGAAAACAAGAGTCGAAATTCTGGCTAATAAATGTGGCCAGCTTTCTTTTACCAAAAAACATTCAGTTACGTAAAGGAGAACTTGAGAAACTTGCTTTGAAAACATGGGCCCTAATATTTGTCAAGTGATTGATTTTTACTCTCCTCTGTATGCTCAGAGGTAATGAAACTAATAATATAATTTCTCATCCAGGAAGGTAACAATAACAATTTTGGAGTTCTGCCACATAGGAGTTTCAGATATGCAGTATAGAACCCTATTGGTTTTTGCTCAGTGGATTGTAGGTTTTTTGTTTTGTTTTTTTCAATTCCAAGTTCTTTGATCTACAAAATGATTCATTTTTATCTTCACAGAATGATATATGCTCTGTACCTGCTGACTTCTCTGATCTATTCATACTCTTTATTCTTTGCTTCTTATGTTTCAGCCTCCTGTGTTTGCTCCTAAATATGTTTGTGTCCAATACAAAAAGGCCTGATTAGAAATTGGAAAGACTACCTTAAAAAATGCGAACCCTACATTGTAAGGCTTACTTTTGATGCACTTAATCATATCCTAAGCAAGCATTTATTCAGCATTATGTGCTAGGCCTTATACTAGGCCCCCTGGGATACAAACGTGAGTAAGATAATAGTGCCCACCCTCAAGGAGCGCATGATGCAAGTAGAAATACGTGTAAACAAGCGTGTGTGTTGGGTACTGTTGATTGTCACAACTGAACTGGAGAGACATGTGTGAGATATTAGTGCTTATCAGTAGACTGTAGGGTGATGTACATGTCTCAACACCCTTAAGAAAAATATCACTGTTCTTTTCTTCACCATTTTCCTTTCTTCTTATCATCTGTTAATTTAAACAAAAGCAAATATTCGTGGGAGGAGAGATAGGAGAACCTTCCATCTCTTATGAGTCTTTTCATGATGCTTGGGGAGTATTTTTGCCTTTTGAAATAAGTATTCATTCTAATCATGAACACAATAGCAATATCTAATACAGTAAAAATCATTACAAGTTAAATTTTCATGTGTCTTGCCTTAAGTTCTGTAATTATGTAAATCAGATGCTAGGGCTGTGTAAGGTAGCACCATTAACGATTATGTATCAACATGGTGGAGAGGAAAGAGCCTCGGCAGGTGACATGGGCTCAAATTCTACTTCCACCACTGCCTATGTACGTGAAGTTGGACAGATCACTTATTTCTCTAAGCCTATGTTCCTGCATCTCAGATGCTAGTAAGTTAAGTTAGCTCGGCCCTTAAAAATCTCTGAATTTGTCCCTTTGAAAAGTGCATGTAAGCCCAAATAAAATTAAATACTGGAATTAGAATTAATATACTTTAATAGGGAGTCCCTGGGTGGTGTAAATGATTAAGTGCTTGACAATTAGCCAAAAGGCTGACGTTTTGAACCTACCCCAAGGCACCTCAGAAGACAGGCCTGATAATCCGCTTCTGAATAGTCACGGCCTTAAAAACTCTATGGAGCACTTCTTCTGTGACACACAGGGTCTCTGTGAGTTGGAATTGACTTGATGGCAACTAACAACATATACTTCAGTAGATACTAGACAATCTTTACGTCTTTTCCCTCACCCCACCAACACCTTCTTCTGGTCTCCCTACATGTGTCATAATTTTACTTTTTCATTGATACAAATTCTTTGTGTCAGGAGTGGCCATCCATAGGGAAAACCCTGCTTACAGAGGTTGCCACACTGATGATCCTAACCAAGTACCTTAAAGAGACAGGTGCCCATTTCTGGGGTTGAATTAGCTGAGTCACTGTGCAGTTTCCTAATTAAGTTTTGTTTTAAAAAGGTACAGCTTGAAATCCTAAATATTGCATTTTATTAATTGGTGATAATATAACTCAAGGAAGGTACCCCTTCCTCTGATGGGGCTAGGAGGACATAGTAACTGTTTTCTTATTATTTGAACTTGTTATGATTGAACTTAGTACTTGACCTTTGACTCTAATTACCATTTGATTGTCCACAAATTTTTTTTTGTTCCCTTTTGCAGAAAAGTGAATATACAGTTATATATTCTAAGGTATAAAAATTAGAAAAATACAAATATTTAGAAAATTAAACATGTTAAACCAAAACAAACAAACAAAAACAATCAAATTCGTTGCCATTGAGTCAATTCCAACTCAAAGTTAAACATGTTATGAATATATTATTGGTCATTCCTATTATAAAATTGAAATCAGGGGCTTCTGAGGAAAGCAGTTTTCTAGAATACATTTTCTTGATTATTTCAGGGAGATTCTACTGGGCCATTTGTATGTAGATGTGAGAAAGGTCCCTTTGTCCTCTATGGCATCATCAGCTGGGATGCTGGCTGTGCCCAGCCAAGAAAGCCAGCCGTATTTGCCAGAGTGAGGGTCTTCTTGAACTGGATCCAATTCAAAATCAAAGGTAAATATTTTCAGATATTATGAGTACAATGTCTCTTTCTTTAGTATAGGTTTGGGAGAGGTATGGTAGAAGTCAGCATTATGAAAGAGAAAACAGAGTAGTAGTTCCTGTATTTTAGTTTCTAAACACGTTAAAATGCAACGTATTGTAAGATTAATTTCTCTCTTGGGCAGAGGTAGGGTAAAGATGACTTTCCTGAAGTTGCCTTAATCCTGGATTTGTGTTCTCTTTCGATAATGGCTTCTTTGATATAGACTACACTTTGTCCTCAGACTCTCATCTTTATTTTTAACATGTTCTCCCCAGATACGGGCCCTGCTTCACTTCAGATAAATAACGAAAGCAAAACTTTAACGAAACAATTGCCACCACCCATACCTTCAGTAGATAACGCATCGGGTCAGGTAATTAATGTTCACGTTATTTCATTAGTAGATCTAGTAAGAATTTAACAAAAAGGGCATTGTACATCTTGGTTTATTAATTTTATTCAAAACACCGTAAACTCTGGATTTTCATTCTACTTGATAGTTTAAGCTGAAAGAGAAAGGGATTGCTACTGTGGTTCTTGGGGGAATCTTTTTTCCCTCATAGGTATAGCTGTTGTGAACAAGTGCTTGAATTTTAGTGAAGTGCATAGAATTACTATGACCTCTGAGCTGTTTTTCCATACCTGAGCAAAAATCCTTAGAATTTCAGGTATCCTGCCCGTCATGATCAGGCAGCTATGCAAAGACTCTGGATATGAGGTGACCAAAACCAGTATCAGAGTTCTTATCTCTCTCCCACAATTGCCAGTATCTGTTTGCCAATAGAAGCCCTGGTGGTGCAGTGGTTAAGAAAGTGGCTGCTAACCAAAAAGTCTGCAGTTCCAATCCTCCAGCTGCTTCTTGGAAACCCTGTGGGGCAGTTCTACTCTGTTCTATAGGGTTGCTGTGAGTCGGAATCAACTCGATGGCAGCGGGTTTGGTTTTTTTGTTTTGTTTGCCAAAAGGATTTCAATTGTTAGCCAGAAGCAAACAGCAACTAGAGAATTAGAAAGCTGTAATAGACTTGTAAAGAGATGAAATTCAATGACCTCTTCAGTCTAGGTTTCCAAATGGTGAGGATCTTTCCCTTTTCACCCACCTCAGCCCACCCACCCCTACATACATAGAACCCCAGTGAAAAACTAGGAAGAGTTAGGGACTAGAAAAAAAAAGACAAAATGAAGGGGGAATCTTGAAGGCCAGTTGGCTATCACTGTTTTAGCTAATTCAGTCTTATGAGAGAATTTATCTTTCCTCCATTAAAAAAAAAAAGAAAGAAAGAAAGAAAGAAATCAAGTTCTTATTTTGGCAAGGGCACACTTCAAAATTACTGTTCTATAGATGTAGTCTCTGGGTGGTGCAAACGGTTAAGGGCTTGACTACTAGCTGAAAGGTTGACAGTTTGAACCCATCCAGAGGTGCCTTGTAAAACAGGCCTGGTGATCTGCTTCTGAAAGGTCACTGCCTTGACAAACCTATGAAGCTGTTTTATTCTGGGCTGGGGGAGGGGAGCAGTGCACCATGCGTTACCTCCCTGGGTGACAACTCTAGTGATGCCATTGCCGTTCAGGCCATTAGAAAATGAACATTTTTTAAAAGTAGAGATGATATTTCTCACTTGTATGCTAAAGAACTTAAAAAGTTTTATATATGAAAGTTTTTTGTTGTTGTTTTCTTTAGTTCTATGATTATTTTATTAGATAAATTGTTAAGGCTGTGCCATATTTAACACGCACCTACTCCCACCTCTTGCTTTGTACACTAGTGAATGAATGAATCTTAGCAATGGTTTTTGAGATTGTTACCACATTTATTAAAAGGCAATGACTAGTTGGGAATTCATGGCTCTTATGTGATTTGGCTCCAAACTGCCTTTCTAGACAGAGTTGTCACAGAGGATTCATACAGACAGGAAGTCACAGAAAAGACTGGAAAGACAGATTGAGACCAGACTATGAAGGGCCTTGCAATCTTTGCTACTTAAATTACTTTGAACAGGGTAAGAGCTCAATTCTTTTCATTTTACATACCATTTCCAGACTGGAAGGTGGGGGTAGATTGAAGACTAGGTGACCGGTTAGGTTACTATTAAAGCAAAAGACATCTGGTAAATGTTTGGACAGATCATAATAGCCATATAAATGAAAAGAAGAATTTGCAAAAACATAAGAAGACTGGACAGTGGAGAATCCTGAATTTTCACAGCATTTTGTTTCCCTTATGTCTTTTCATCTCTACTGTTCTTAGAAGTATAGTTAGGTACATGTCTCTTCTGTTAGATTATTAATTTCTCTAGGACGGAGGCCATGTCTTACTGTGAATACATTACAGAGTCTTTCATTTTATAATTGCTCAGAAAGTTTTTGTCAGGGGACTAAACATAGAGGAAGAAGGAAGGGTCAAGGATGAAGCCTGAAAGATGAAATTAGGAGAAAGAGAAACTGATAGCAGAATCATTGGACCAAAGCGTTACTGGCATCTGAATTCTTTAGGCATCCCTGCATGTCCAAAGGTGCCCTTGGACTTAAGAGCAAGTCAAAGAAGTAGCAGACATCCAAGTATATTCAGCAAATTCTTCTTTTAGCGACCTCAGTCATAAGCTCTCTGAATGTAATAATTTGTCCGAACAAGATAAATGCTTGGCAAATTGAGTGAAACTTTTAGGAGCAGGGCTATGGTTGCTTCTCAAAGAAGCAATAAATGAAAACATATTGGGAGTAGAGATTGTAATCCACTCAGGTTTTCGAAGAAATTTTAAAGATTCAGTTAAAACTAATTTTAAAAAATTGTGATTTAAATTCTACCTCTACAATCTCATTTCAGGAAAATAGGACACATTGAATGGGATGTTCTTTTTTACTCAAGAACCTCTAACTGATAACAGTAAAGTTTTAATTATTTTCTTGCCAGCCTAAGTTCTGCAAACTCACTGTTGTGATCGAAACTCATTTTTCTTTGCCTTGTTTATGCTTATCCCTCATGTCTGTATGTTCGGAATTGCAGTCTGTTACTCTGAAGTGCAGCTGAAAGAGCCCAGAGGCTTTTTTTCAACTCCCAGATGTCCACTGGATTATAGAGGAAAACTGGAATGTTTTCGAGTGCTCAGAGTTTCACAAAGCAGTATGGCAAAATTTACAGTTGAGTATCTGTCACTCCCTGAGTCTTATATATGTTGAGACTCAGTTTTATCTATTTATGAAGAATACCAGAGTGAGACAAGAATGTCAGGGAATCCTTACAATCATTTAAACTTTGTGCTATGAGTCTCTTCTGTGTGGGCAGCTTATGGTCAAGACAGAGTTTTTACTTGGTAATCAAAGCACCGGAATGTTGACTTATGTACTGGGCATGCCTTTTTATCTAGGCACACTGAATATTTTCAAAATTTGTATTTACAGATATACTAAAAGTTGAAAGTCTGTGTATGTGTGTGTGTGTGTATGTGTGTGTGTGTTGGGAGTAAAAAAGGCAGAGAGCCCAACTTTTCAAACATACCAGAACCGTACCAGAATGCCAGAACAGTATATGTGGTAGAAGAAAATTTAAAAATAGAGGGGGTTTTGAATTTAAAATAAAGCAAACACATTAAAGACTGTTCATATAGTATGAATGAAAAGATTTGCTAATAACATACTAGCCATCATTTCATTTCATGTATAATATTCCCCTCTTATCTGCAAGGGATACATTCCAAGACCCCCGGTGAATGCCTCAAACTATGGATAGTACTGAACCCTAC